TATATATATATATATATATATATACTTAAAACAAGGTACAAATATCAACACTTAACTAAGACCTATGGTTTTTCAATGATTTTATACTTTGCAGGAAAGTAAATGTAAAATAACTCCTTTTCAGAACCCTATATTGATTACACATGGAAATTAAATAAACGCAAGACTTTATGTCACAAGATATGCATATTTTGTATATAACCTGTTGTTTTAGTCTTAAAAAAAAGTGCCTTGAATTTATTTCAATAATGCTATACAGTTTTTCTCATTTTTTTTACTTTTGTATTTATAGTCCTGAACATAGTTGGTCCTTATCGCATGGACAAACCTCCAAGATGAATTGAGAATTTTTTTTCTCATTTATTTTTATTAAGGAAAATGTAGACGTTTACCACATTTGATATCTGAAAAAGAAACAAGCAAAGTTCAAAATATAAATTTAAGAACTTGATCAATTTAAAACAACCACATTTGACAATGTAACTCTCCTATTCCCTTCTTCCAACATTTCTAAAATGAATTCCACATATACCTCTTAATAAAAATAACAAAAATGCTGATGATATCCCTCCTCTGAGAAACTTGGACAATGTCACATTAGAAACTGCTGAGGTAACCAATATCTCACGTTAGAAACCTCTGAGTTAACCAATATCTCACATTAGAAACTGCCAAGGTAACCAGTATTTCACATTTTTGAAAGAGCAGTAACATACTTTTGTTTCCATAATGACACCTTATTCGGTTATAATTGTTTCTAATCAAGTTTTTATTAAAGAAAAACACCAAATGCATGTTTTTCTTTTTTACAATCAATGTCTGTTAATTAACTTAGTTTTTATTCACTGTTTATCAGGCAGGACATAATTTTCTTCTCTCTTAATTGTTAAAATTAAAACATTACATACAGAATACTTTAGTGAAACAAAAAAGTAAGTGATATGTAACTAAGAAAAAAATTCTGCAGGAGTTTTTCCAATTAATAACTGCAGAAAATACAAAATTCAACAATTTCATCCACAAAACTGGAACAAAACTTACCACATTTCTAAAGTTCATCACGTAAAATAGTATATCTGTTTCTAGATGGCGCTAATTTTCTGAATGTAGATTCTGGTGGATTGGTTGGTAGATTCTGTTTCAAGGAAAAATTTATAAATTTATTTATTAAAACTAGTTACTATTTATTACAGCTGTTGGAAAAATTTTTCTGCAGGCAGTTCAAAAGATTTACCAACTTTATACAACAAACCTACAGTAGTCAACATTTGCTAGGGATCATGTTTTTACATAATAGGTATACTATTGTTAATAAAAGTCAGTTCTAAAAAAATACATAGCTTGGAAGTCCATTCTGCCAAGTGGAAACTTTCTGCTTGGATGACTTTGATTGGATCCTGGTTTTGTTTTCCCAAATTGAAAGTTCATAGAGTGAAATTGTGAGGTCCTTAATTCGAGTTCACTGATCATTGCATGCTAAAATTGGTCTGATCTGAGATTATGCAGTGCAGAAAATGCCTTGTTTAGGTCAAAGGCATCATCTTTCCCTTGCAGAACTTAATAGGGCTGTTGGGATGCTGCAGGGAGGCATGATTAAACACAGGGTTGCTGCTGCTTATGGCACATACCAAAATTTGGTGTTCAGGGCCTGGAATAGGTTCAGACAGTTTGGTAGAGTCAATAGGAGACATGGTGGAGGAAGGAGAAGACTAACAACTCCACAACAAAACCACTAATTCACCATCCAGGTTCGAAGGAATCACTTTGCTCCAGCTGTTAACCTCCATAACTCCCACCAAGATGCTACAGGATTCCGATTGTCTACACAGACAGTGCACAGATGCCTTCACAAAGCTCAGTTGAGGGCTAGACGTCCTGCTGTTCATGTTCCTTTAAGCCGACAGCACAAGCAGGCATGACTGTCGTGGGTTAGAGAACACAAGAGGTGGACTCTGCAACAATGGAGGGCCATACTCTTCACTGATGAGTCCCACTACTGTGTTGACTTTCTTGACTGTTGATTTTGAAATTTCTCTTGTTAAGACTGTACCACAGGGTATATCAGTTCCTCAGGCTCTGTTATCCAAGTTAAATGTTACAGGATTTAACAAAGTATAAAAATGACTTATCCAGGTGTTTTCTTCCTAAAATGTTCAATCTATACATATCATTGTGGTAGGTGTTTGACATAAACTCAAAATAAAACATGATCCCTAGCAAATGTTGACTACTGTCTGACAAAGAAGTATCAAGGGAAATTCTTGTTTGAAACACATTTCAGTACTATTATAAAAACACTAAAAAACTTTAAATAGTTTGTAACATTTAATTAGAGCTTCAATAAAGTAAAATGTAATAATTACTGATTCATAAAGAACTTCAGCTACTAAAAGTTCTAAAATGATACTATTGTTAAACAGAGTAAACAAAAAAATCAATTTTAAGCCTTAGCTAGTCTTGCACTATAACTTAACAAGTACAGACTAGTTAAAATATACTACACATTTGGTCTATAGTTAGAGCTACTATAAACTGGCTTATATGAATGTAAGTTTTTTTGTTTTCAATTTGTTTAAAACATTAGTGCTATATTTATCAATTGAAAAACACCACCAAGAACACCAAATCATCACTTGGTTGTTGCATGCCATCCAACCTTATGAGCTCCGGTACTGAGCAAATAATTTATTTGGCAATGGTTGAGAAGCATTTAGATTTTTCTTAGAGGAAACCAATACATGGCCATAAAAAGAAAAGATTCATTAAAAATTGTTTACAGTTATTATGATGTAATGCCATGCAAACCACCAGTCTATCTGTCAGTGCAAAGTTTTACTTAGATAATAACCAAGCTATACTTTCTTTAAATAGTTTTGATTAAGTTTACTTACAGAGTATAAGTATTGTTTTTTTACATGTTACAATAATGAAGAATATATATCTTTAAAACAGGCACTACATTTCAATCACTGGCACAATCATTCTAGTTTTACTAAAACCTTCTTTACCATTAAAACCTGTATACCTGAGAATGATCACGACAGCAACTGAAAAATCATCCTTCATTACTATAAAAGTTGTAATTTATAAAAAGATACATTTTTTTTGTGTGACTGAACTAAAAATTTCAAATAACAGTTGGTAATAATTGTTATGAGAAAACAGTTTTGAGAAATTTTCTTATCATTAGTACATGATAGTCATATCACATTCCCCGAGATGAAACTTTACCTGAACATTAGGTGGAGAAGCATCGGACCGAGATTTGGTTGTTGTTTCAGGACCATAATGAAATTCGCGGTGCAGTTTTCCTGAGTATAGGTCTTCAACAAACTGTTTCAGCTTTCCTGGGACACTTAAAGAAAACAGGAATGGTGACTTTTTTTTTTTGAGAACCATAAACTTGAAAGTTAATCATATGCAAGAAGAACCTCCCAAGTTCAGACTGGACACTTGTACAAGCACCTCTTCCCTTAAGTGCAGAATTAAAAAACAAAAACGGACCAAACAATGACAGAGAACAGTTACATGTTAATTCTCATATGGATAATTTAAAAGTTTTTCCTAAAACATGACTTATTGTAATGATTCATTACATAAAAATTAATGATTTCAAAGTAGACAGTTTTCATCTCATGCAACTGTAAGTCACACTATATCATATATATATATATATATATATATATATACGAGATTTAAATAACTTTCTACCATATAGATGTTTTCCTATTCAAGAACAAGGTTATCAAGAATGCAGCACAACCAAATATAGAACGACAACTTTGAAAAACTTGTAACTAATTATCTTTGTCATAAGACACTATGTTAGGCCTAATATATTCTTTAACACTAAATTCTTCATTTTGTTCCTTAGAGATTTACAAGAATCAGAAGAGTGTAAATTAATAGCATTTCAACCATACTATTGTTGTTACATCCTGAAAATCTTGAAAATTCCTAAGAGACTAGATAAAGAATGCTATAATAGGCTTAATACTAATATTTTATTACAAGTATAATTAATTATAATCATGCTTCAACAACTAGTAAAAGGCATTCACACCATAACTATTGTGTAAAACTTGTACTTGGATCCAATACACCACTTTGTATAAATAGATGTACCAGTTTTGGAAGTGAAAAACTGGTATTGAGACCCAATACAACACCTTGTCCAAACAGGATGCAATCACAGTATCACTTCTTAATTCTTTCAGCATGGGCTCAGTCCCAGGGACCAGCCTCATAAACATTTTGTGCTTGTTATAGTTTTCATGTTATAACTTTAAAATCTGTAAGCGTATCTTCACAAAATTTTGCATATTATCAGTAAACATTACAATGCTTTCGTATCATTTTTTAAGTTTTAAGATTTTTTAAGTAATGTTTTCTCATTCCTTTTTCTTTTTGTATGTTTACTATTCAACTTCCAAAGTAATTTTGATTTTAAGATTAAAAATACTTTCATGCATCAGAAAATTTTCAAATTTCACATGCAAAATCTTTATAACCTCCAGCTAATTATCAAACATTTTTTAGAAAAAAAACTTTATATTTTATCTGTTATTTTCTCTACAGTATCTCTGAACAGGTTGGATCGATTTGACCAACGTCATAAAAACCATAAAAAATTAGGAAATAAATATAAATTATGCTTTTTTCATTCTAGGATGACTACAAATGATAACACAAATGTTTAGTCTAAATAGCTTAAATCTCATAATGTTATACATTTATATATATTTATAATTTTTATTATATTGATTTTTTAGCCATGCCTGGTTAACATTACAGAAGATGTAATGATGAGGCGCATGTGCACTCATGTTACCGTATCTAAAAATATAAAACTGGCCTTT